GTCAGTCCACAGCTTGCAGTCACGGTATCCCCCTAGGAGATGCTATAAAATGGGGTTATTGAGAGTACCTATAACATAGGGCTGTGCTCTATGAAAATCCTCAGTTTTCAGATGAGGAAACTGAGGCACAAAGCAGTAAAGGCCTTGCCCAAGGTCACAGGCTGACTCTTGGATACTCTGGATATGTACCGCTGGCTAGATATCTAGGCAAGGCTGCTCTAAATGAGTGCAGTCAAGAGCAGTTTAACCAATTTCTCTACCACGGGACTCCCCCAGGACTGTGAAGGGACTCCCTAAGGGGGCACTCAGGTATGCCATGACTCTCAATTTTTTTCACAAGGTTACTTCAAGGGCAGGTGCTCCACAGAACACACTTTGGGAAACACTGCTCACGGGGGCTGTCAAGGTAAAGCCGGTCACGGTAGAGAGCACCCTGGCTAAGAAACTGTTATATTATTGGGAAAACAGGTCTGTGACCTCCAGACTGGGGATAACAGAGATGGAATTCATCCCTTCTCAACGGATGCTGGAAAGCCAAACCCACCCACCAAACTTTTCACTTCTGATGGGTCTACAGCTCCTGGAGCCCCACAATGTTAATGCTTGTCCAGTGAATTCCCCCACCATAAAACACTAGCTATCCTGCCAAGTCCTCATCCACGGAGACTTCCTTGGCTATGTCACCCCAATTTCCAGCCTTGCAACACTCAAAAGCTATGAGCCCAAATCTCACTCTGATTCTGGTAGTTTGACAGTAGACTTCAGCGTCTAGATGTTCCTTTTGGCTCACAAGTTCTATTTGCTGTAGTCTGTGCCCTACAGGGGCCAAAAGTTCAAGGAATCAAAGAGAAAATAAACTCACCACTTTGTGGAGCTATAGTAGCTCCCCTTTATAGGAGATCAGCTGAATGTCAGGCATTTGTCAGATGTTACCTACTCATTTTTGCCATTCCTTACAAGAAGCATCATTATGCTCTTTTGACAGATGAAGAAATCAAGGCTTGACATGGTTGCCAAAGATACCCTGCTAATGAGTGTGAGATCCACGATTCGCACTTGGGTCTTACTGCAGTCTGTACTCAAGTATGCATTTCCATAAAGCCGGGCATGAGAAGCAAAGCTCTCTGGACAAGGGAAGGTCAGCAGGACTGGGACCTGAGAACTTCTCCAAGGCCTCCCTAACTGATCTCATCAAAAAGGAGTATCTGAAGGTCATCTGATGCAGCTGATCCCCAAACAAGATGAGGCACCAGGAACAATCTGGCATCAAGAATTCTGAGGCACTGAAGCCCTAGCCCTGACTGGATGCATCAGGCCAGACCCTGGGTAACTACCAGACCGTAATGGGATGTGATATTTATACTAGTCACGAGCCTGACAGAGAAAACATGTTGTTTTCTCAGACACAGCCATGGAGACAATACCTCAATAATTCATTATATTCAGACCACCCTCAATCAAACCCAGACTTCTACAGCTCAAACTGAGAGCAGAAGTGAGTCCATGCCCGGCCATATGCAGGCCCCTCGGCAAATCTCAGCTCCATAGAAAGTTAGCCTCAGTTTTCCTAGACTAATTTAAAGATAAGCAGACTGAGTGCTGGAAGAGGAGCAGAAGATGGAAATAAAGACACATAAGTGCTCGGAGGCTGAATTCCCAAAGGAATTCCTAGAGAATTGCAAAACACTTCTGAGCTACACACTTTCCCCATAGTTGGTCAACCCCTTTCATTTTCTGACACTGAATCAGAAAGCAGGAAGGGACATTAGAACACAGAGAATTCAATCTCCACATTTTAAACACAAGAAAAAAGAGATCAGAGAGGTTAAATGACTTCTTCAAGGTCACGGCCTTATTCAGACTGCCAGAGCAGCTCCTTATTCACTACATTCTGCTCCTGGATTGTACTGCCAAACGTCATAGCCTAGTAAAGAGAGAGCTCTGATGAAACTCACCAGAGAAAAGAGAATAATGTGAAAAAGTATAGCAAAGAATAATACTGGAATGACTGTGCCCAAGTCCCCAACAGGGGGGAAATGTGATTCGTTTTCTTCTTTATTTTAACATACTCCTACGCACACACACACACACACACACACACACACACACACACACACACACACCATTCTTTTCAAAAAGTAGAGTCATTCACCATTTGGGATTCAGAGGCCAAAGGTATTAATGATGAGATGTCTCATGATGCACACTCACAGTCCCAGGTTCTTTTGATCAAAAAGGATGGTGCAGTCCCAGAGGCCAAATGCTTGTGATTCCACAGCTCCCTGCTGAAACTTATCTCCCATGGAATTTCTGATGCTAAAATGACCAGCCTTTCACTGGATTCCAGCTCCTGGTCCAACCATCTTGGGACTGAATGAAGGTGAGAGTTAATACATCTGAGGGTCAGGAGAATTGTGTGGAAAAGCAACCTAGGTTTGCCTGGGAAATCTAGCACTAAAATAATTATTCCAAGCTCAAGCCCAAATCATTTTTCTGTAAAGCATCTTGACAACTACCAAATACTTGGAAAGCAAAAAAAATGAAGGGAAAAAAACCATAACTGCAGTATAAATACAGATCTCAAGGGTAGAAAGAAAGCTTATAAGAGGCCTAAGTTATTACTGGGCATAAGGAGCTGGCTACACTGGTTTAATAGAGCAAATCAAGGGATAAATATTAAGATCTGAGCATGATTTAAAATGAACTCTAATGGTATCAAAAGTGACCTGATCTTGATCTACATCAGCCTCACGTCTTCCCAACCAACTGCAAGCATCTCTTCCAGGGCTAATTCTTTGTAGAAACTTCCAGTTATGTCAACTCAGCAGATTTGGAGCTGCAAAATATAGCCTTATATATATAGTGGTTTTTTTTTTCTTATGATCATTGCCAAAAACCTATTTTCTCAAGAAAACTGACAGAAGTTATGTTTGGTCATCATTTAGGAAAGATATTCTTTATGTGAACAATACAATCAACATTTCATCACAGGCAATGCAGTGACATTAATGTACCCCCTGGAGTAAAAAGACTTTAGAGACTGTGTTTAAAACCTCAGGATCACAAAAACACCAAAACTTATTTTGGCTCATTGAAAAAAAAAAAAAAAAAGTTATTGCCCAGTTCTTTACAGATAGGTGGCTGTTTAAAAGTTCACCAAAATTACTCAGTCTAGAGAACAATTCAGATGCATACGGCTATGAGCTATCTTTCTCCTAAAGGCAAGCACTAAATCTTAGTAAAGGAAAATAAACTCCAGAGCTGAAGACTGTCGGGGAGGTGGAGGACAGGAAATGTGTGGATAAGAAGGCTCTATGAATAAGCAGTTGATAGGAGGAGAGTAGGCAAGGGGCACAATCTCAGGGTCTCACGGTTACGATTCTGCTGACTCTGATGGCTTCTCTGGAATTCAAGAGGTTTTCCACCATAACAAGTAAAGAGAATCCTGTATGGCTAAGAAGGTAACTCCAAAGAAAGCTGGCTGGGCAACCTCTGGAGGCTTCCAGAGAACTGGGAGGGGAGGAAGAGAGTGAGGGCTTTTATTTTTCTTCTTTATTTCCAACACACCAGTATTTTCCAAAACACAAATGTGCTGCCACAAAACACAGCTGAGCTCCAGCACCTAACACAATGTATAATTAATGATCAGGAGAGTGAGCTTTGGTTCATCCTCGTGTGTCTGTCACCCATAGCTCCTGGATTCCGTACTTCTTCCAGCAGCAACTAAGGAGCCTGCGACAAGTTGCTGTGCCTTGTCAGAGTTTGAGGGGTCCTCAGATTAACTTTCCTAGAAAAGGTATGAACATTCTGAGGAAGATCCGCCTCTACCTTACACTGTTCCCCAATTCCCCTTGATCTCCCCACCCTCTGAAAATGTTGGCACTGGAAGTCCCCTAGGATAGGAATTACTTCAACAGAAAGCAGCTTGGGTGACTCTTTTTGCCAGTTCTTTTTTATTTTGCAGTTTTCTATGAAAAACTGCCCTCTGCCCCTTACCTTCAGCCAGTGGGGGGAAAAGAGGACATCTGTAGGGACCTGATAACAGACCAGGCAGTCAGCCTAGCAACCATACGTAAAATGTAGAGAGTCTTGGTGCTGGTGGGCGTCTCTGCGCCAGGAATAGCCTAACCCGACATCCAGCCACCTCAAAAGCGACGGAGAGGAGGCTCCGCGTTAAACCGCGGCCTCGGCAGGCTCTCCAGCGGACCTGCTGCCCCAGCTCCGCGCTGTTAGTGGCATTTCCAAGGGCCTAAAGAGGGTGGCATGGGGGAGAGAATACAGATGCCCAGAACTTGGAGTGGGGGTATGTTCCACGAGAATATCCAAGGGATGGAGAGGGAGGTGACATCAGATGTGCGACCTCGCCACACTCCTAAAGTGGCAGACTCCTTGCTGCCTCCAAAACTGGGGTGCATCTCCCCAACTTTCTCTCGCCCCCCAGACTCTCCTCCACTTCCTCTCGCCATGTTCCTCCCCCGGGATTCC